GTCAACTGCAATATATATATAATCACAAAACCAACTGAGATGATTGTAGAAATAAAATTGACAAAGAATTTAATCTCAAAATTAGATTAACAACTAGTAAACAGTGGACAGAGCTACGCATAAAATCATACATATACTGCAAAAAGCAACCGCTAATGCAACGCCTTTATTAACTTCATACGAGACAAAAATAAATGTTCCGCTGGAAATTTGCCATTTGTTAAGGGAAAAAGGAAAAGCAAGAAAAAACTGCCAGAGAAGACACGCGCCGGATGATAAAAGAGTGTACGATAAACTTTCGAATATTTTGAAATTAAAGTTAAAAATGTCAAAAGAAGATAGTTTTACTAAATATATTACGACAATAAACCAATATGATAATTCAATATGGGCGCCAATTAAAAACGTCAGAAAACCTACAACATTGAACTCACCGATAAGACAATCATTCAATACAAACGGATCTTGAACCAGGAGCGATCAGAAAAAAGCAGATCTAGGGAGAAGTCCCGTAACGCCGGACTTAGTGCCGGACATTTTATTTAACACGTATTATTTAAGCGAGTATAAATCTTTTCATTTCAGAATGCAAATGAAAGGGGCGCAGGGGTCACATAGATACAGGATTACACGCCGAGCCTCGCCTGTGACGCACACGGCCACTGCGGGAGCAACCGTTTGCTGTTTTAGGCGTAAAATCACGGCGTCACCTAAATATCAATTGAAGTAATTCTAGTATATTTATGCAATTACATTTGAGTGGTATGCAAAGATAAAAGTAGTACTTGATTGTTATCTATAAAATGGTACAATATTATTAGATCTTTTAAACAATTTTAGTTGATACCACCAAATAAACAAAAATGTCTGTCCCTTAGCGCCGGACAGTGAACATATTGATATTTTTGTGAGAAATTACGTAAATTATTCTAATTATTTAACTTTGTTCTGCATGAGTGCTAACTGTCACTACATACCCCCATTTTTCGTATTTCCTAGTCAAAGAATAAAAATTTTATGATGAATGCTCCATTGAGAGCATCGGTGTGGCCCAGCCAAAAGGGTGGATAAATAGTGTTTTTTTCGCAATATCAAAGAATATTCGCCAAACACACATGTGCAGACATTCCAGAGTGTGGAGATGGCTACATATATGTATTCAATACAGGTTATTTTGAAATATCCGGTACTAGGTGACACTTTTTAAAATCATATTTTTTGTTACCAAAGTTTGATTGCTAGTATTAATTATTTTTTAGCAAAGGTTGCGTTTTTGTTAATTTAGTTTGATTTCTAACTTTGTTATCTAACATAAATTATAATTTAATGAACATTTCGTAAAATATTTTTTGATATATTTATAAATAACCTTAGGTGTCCAGCACTCGGGGACTTCCTTCTATTCGCCAAATAATAACAGCCCTGTTCCAAACGTGAATAATATATCTAAAGATTTGGTAGACACTTTTGAAAGAATTAAACCAATAACACCAAAGGAAATCAAATCTGAAATATTGTCTTTAAAAAATAAAAAAGTGCAGATATCGACAAATTAAAAGCAAACATTTTTAAGGAGTTGTCTAAACAAGCTTTTGTGCTGATTACATACATATTCAATGCGGCACTAAGAATTGGTCACAAAATCTTCAAACAATCTGAAATTATTAAGATACCAAAACCAGGCAAGCCATGCCACTTAGATAACTCCTACAGACCAATTAGTCTACAATCCATACTATCAAAAATGCTAGAAAAACTATTACTTGCAAGAATAACAGATAATCTTACTATCATACCATACCATTAATTCGGATTAAGGAGAAAGCATTCGACCATACAACAATGCCATAGAATGACCACGGCAATATGCCAAGCAAGCGAAGACAATAGATACGGCTCCACAATCTTAATTGACATTAAACAGGCATTTTGTTTAAAATAAAAAATTGCCTACCGGGAATATATTACATGTTAATGGAATCATATTTAACAAACAGATTCTTTACAGTGAAAGTGGGCAGGGTTGTATCGGAATTATACGATATAAACGCAGGAGTGCCACAGGGGAGCGTAATGGGCGTAATGCTATTTACCATCTTCACACATAACAATCCAACTAATACGAATACAATTTTCGGAACATTTGCAGACGACACCATAATCATGGCAACCCACGAGGACCCTATAATGGCATCGCTAAATCTATAAGAACACCTTTTCGAATTGGAGCTCTGGCTCCAAAAACGGAAAATTGATATCAACGAAAATAAATCAAAATACATAACATTTACTACTAAAAGTCAAAATTGTCTAGATGTATTTATGAACGGCATCAAAATCCCTACATGCAGTAAATATCTAGGCATGGAATTAGATCGCCGATTAACATGAAAACTATATATTAAGGATAAGTGCAAAGAGATAAAGGCCAGATTTAAATAATTATATTGGATGATAGGAAGAAGGTCGAACATGTTTCTTGAGAACAAACTGTTAATTTATAAGGCTATTATAATACCGATTTGAACATTAAAATGCCCTATGTTATGTAAACAACCAAATAATCCATAATAACCTTAAAATCGACACGGTATGCAAAACCATAAAAAAGTTCAGCAATAGATTTCATTCAAAGAATGCTCAACATATTAATCCATGCATCCAACACATCGTACGAAATATACCGACCAGATGACTCAAAAAAAGATGGCCAGATGACCTCAAATAAAGTTGAAATTAAGTGTATCAAAATCAATGGTGACCCTACATCATAAACAAAGTTGAAAAGAAAGCTGACGAGAACCGGATAACGCCTGATCCCAAAACAAGATAATTTCAATGGAAGTTATCGAAATCACGTTACTTAAGTTACCAGTTAGAAATTATGTACTTTTCTGATTGCTAAAAATAAAGTGTTAAAAAAAAGAAAATCTGGCTTAAGTTCTAAAGCTCACTAATATACTTCCAATAAATAAATTTTAACAATGCTATTCAGTTTATATAATTCTTATAAATGTTAGACAATATCTTTTATTTTAATTTTGATTGATTGAGTTCTGTTTATAAACTTCCCGTAGGATAAGTTTACTATAACGCAAAAAATCGAGAATTAAAATTTTTATATATCTTTACGTTTCAGAGGTTTCTGTACATTTTGGCATACCTTAGAAAAAATTGATGTATGTGTGTGTGTGTGCGGATACAAATTTTTGTCGACGATTTTGAAAACACGGTTCAACCGATTTCAAGAAGACATGCTGATTCGTTTTTAGCATAGGCAGGTCTAACCGTTTCGAATATCAGGGCAAAAAGAACCACACACAGTAACTCGGTCCGATTTTAATATTTCAAAAAATATTTTACTTGTATTGACAAGATAAAAAATTGATTAAATTTTTATGAAGGCAGATCTGGCGGTTCCGGAGATTTAAGTACAAAAAATGCCATGATCATTAAACATATGCACATTAAATTATCAGATATTTTATAGAGATTTTAACAATAAGTATAAGTTTTGTTTACATTTCTATGGGTACCAATATTTACCTGTTAGACGCCGACGCGGCGCTTACGCGCGTCTATATTTCGTCTCTATGCTAGAACTTACAAAATATTTCAAAATAAAGAAAATTTTAATTAATTAATTTTTTTCAAAAAAAGTAAATTTTTGTCAAAAATTTATAGTTTTTTAAAAATAAAATTCTTTCAAAGTAAAATTTGCAAAAATGTTAATTTTTTGAAAAAAAAATTGGTACAGAAAGTTCCAGCATTTTGCCTTAAGGTACGATGCCATGCACTAGTTTACTTTTCTGTAAGCATGTATAAGTTACAGTATTCATAATAATCTATTTGAAAACATTTAATATTCTTCAAATATTTCATTACTTTATATTTAGTAATTTGCTTAAAGACACAATACAATACACCACTAGTTGTATTATTTTTTTTGGTCAATTTTGATTTTCTAATTTTTTTTATAATTTTTAATTATATATAAAAAACACACATAACCCTAAATTTCCTCCTACCTCAAATCCCTATTTTGTAAGAATTAATTATAAGATTTAGTAGTTATTTTTTCATAAACCAGACGTCCGATTCAATTGTTAGGTAAACCTCAGATAGATTTTCGAATATTTTGATTCAAGCCAAGTGATAGTTTTAATGTTTTTCTTATAATGCTTAAATAAATAAGGTAAATTAGAGAAAATATACACTGGTAGATAGGACAACTGGTACATAGGCAAATATCTAAACAGATAAACAGGTTGACAGGTTGATTGATAGACATGTGTGGACTAGATGTACAATATATAATACATATGCATATACCCACAGACACGTATAATGGGATGACGGTACATTGGCAAACAGGTAATTTGGTTGACGCATAAATTGGTAAACAGGTAAAATGGTGGATTTATAAACAGGTAATTTGGTTGACAACTAAATTGGTAGGTAAGTAAATTGGTAGACAGGTGAATTGTTGAATAGATAAATTGATGGACAGATTAGGTAGATTAACTAGTGGTGCATGACATCGTCTCTGAAGACAAATTGCTAAAACTTCCCGTATCAAAAAATAAATTATTAAAAAAAACTTTGCAAAACTTTGATAATTTTTAAAAAAATTTTGAAAAAAAAATGACTTTTTTGAAAAATTTGATTATTTTATATTATGATTTTTTCACATACATATATTTATTCTAATGTATCCAAAAATTTTCAGACACATATGAAACGTAAAGATATATACAAAATTTTATTTTCGATTTTTTGCGATCACTATAACTTGGTCATTTTGAAAACATTCGATATACCTACTTCAATTCTAGCTTTGTGAAAACAGGTTAGTCAAATAGTTCACAGGCTCTTCTACTAATAGTGAAATCATAGTCTTAACGAAAAACACAAACAATTATAAAACTATAAAAAGTGGATCAATTCAACTTTTTCATTAAACTAGTGAAGTATTGCATTGTACTGTAATTTGTACTTACGTGTTTGGAATATTTCGCATTGCTCTATGTCGCAAGAAAACTATAACCAAAGTTCCGTTACCAAGAACACCTGCCACAAAAATCAGAGCAAACACCACTGGCACAATGTAGGTCTCCGGTCTTTCAGAAAACGGCGTGTATGCATGGGGACCAGACGATAAATTTTGCACAATAGTAAAGTTATCATTTACTCCAAAGGTGTTGTTAAACAAAATATCACTGATATTGTACTCCATGTTCCCGAAAATCAACAGTTTAATATCACCAATGAATTACTGTATGAATAATTTGTTTTTTCCTTCAAGTGGCAGTTGACGATTTATGGCACATTATCGTCCTAATGCTGGATGTCAATAAGGTGTGCCTAAAATGAGATGAAATTTTACATTAAAAACATGCAATATACTCTTGTCATATACGCTTACATTTGGCGCTCACTGGTCAAACAACTAATGTATTAATATTAATTAATAGAAGTAAAAGCGTACGTAATTTTGACAGTTTTATCTTTTAAAATTAAATTTAAACAATTAATATTTTATAGTTTTGAAGTAAACTTTCTTTAGGCGCCACTAGGGTGTAAATCTGTGATAATGCAACGGAAATTACGTTACGCCCAAACTGTACATCATTCGCTCTCGATGAAATCATTTCTATATGGGTCGATTGTGATTAGTCGTTATGTCGCTTGAATAGAGATCTGTCGTATGCGTACCGGAATCAATGTTGTAAAATTAAATTTAATAAAAAATTCCTAAATCAGAAGAATATTTTACCCTGTTTCCCGTAAAGAATTATAATGAAAATAATAAAATAAATAAAACTAATTATATGATGAGTGAAGTTGCAAAAACAATATTTGTTTAGGCGTTGCTTAACATAATCCATTGTATGAAAAAATATTATAGAATTTATTAATTAGCAATTACTTTATTTCTTTAATGAAGGTCCAAGTCCTAAATGCTAATTACATTGACAAACCGATCATTTCATATTTTAAGTATGACTTTAATTTCATTGTGAGGAATCAAGCAGGCTAGACATGATGAAAAAAAAACAATATAACTTGTCATTTTTATTTATCATAAAATTTTGTAATTAATAAATTGTTTATATTTTCATCCAATGAATTTTATAATTTTATATACATAACTGTTTTCAAACAACATTATTGTTTTCAAATACTATGAATATTTTTAAGGCTTTTATAAATATATAATTTATAATTTATTATTATATAAATGTGTATAATGGTTGACACTAGTTACCATATTACTAATAAAAATCAGTAAGTGTTACCATATTACTAATAAACATTATTCAAAATTGTTATATAATATATTTATTTACAATTGAAATGCTATCCTGTGATAACAAAAAAGTTTTACTTCAATCGCGTGTGAACCTTACGCGCACTCGTTTTTTGTTACCTCGAACATTATTGGAATTTTTAATTCTAACGCTACTCTATCAATGGGTTTCTCAGGAAGTTATCAAGGAGAGAAGTACGAAATATCATCAAAGGAGCATATCATCCAAACACTCTAACTAGTGGAATGTATGGCATCGTGCCTTAAGGCGAATTGCTGGAACTTCCCATACCGTAACAAAATGATCGAGGAATATTGAAACAGATTATTATAAATATTGTAACATTGTCGAATATTTATAAGAATTATATAAATTAAATTGGAAAGTTGAAATTATTTGTTTAAAGTATATTAGAACAGAATTAAAATAAAAATCTGAATTATTTTCGATATACAAAAAAAAATTTTTTGGATTTTTTTTTTTTTTTTAATTTTTGAAGCAAAAATTTTTTTTTCCAAAATCAATTATTTTGTTAAAACAAGCAAAAAGTTTTTGGAATCATTCACATCGGACGCTTAGTTCTCTCAAAAACTGCCATTTTTTGCACATTTAGCTCTGTATCTCCAAAACCGCTAGACCTGCCTTTGCCAAAAACTAATCACTCCTTCTCCCCGTCATTACGAATTGAATGTTTTTAGGATCATTCAAATCGGATGCTCCGATCTATCAAACACTCGATTTCTATTTTTTGCTCCATATCTCCTAATCGGCTGGACCTCCCTTTGCCAAAAACAAATCAGCACATCTCCCTATCAATAGGAATCGAATGTTTTTTGAACCGTTCAAATCGGTTGATCCGTGCGCCCGAAAACTTGGATGAAAAATTGTATCCATACATACATACATAATGTACGTGTGTGTATGTATGTGCGGAAAAAGTGCCAAAAACGGTACCTCCGTTTTTAAGAGAACGGAGCGTCCGATTTGAATAATTCAAAAAACATTTCATTTGTATTGACAAGATGAAGAATCGATACAATTTTCATGAAGGTACGTCCAGCGGTTTCGGAGATATAGAGGAAAAAGTAAAAAAATGAGCCATTTGGCGGTCAAAAATGATCATTAGACATATGCACATCAAATTATCAGATATTTTATAGAGATTTTAACAATAAGTATACATTTTGTTAACATTCCTATGGGTTCCGTACTAATGCTCATGCGTTAGACAGCGACGCGGCGCTTACGCGCTTTATATTTTGTCCTTATGCAGTTAAAGCAGTACGATTGCTTTGAAAAAAAAAGTTCAGATCTTCCACAATATGTCAAAATAAAAAAAAAAATTTTGAAAAACTTGAGAATATTACAAAAATTTAAAAAAAAATCGTAAATTTTCAAAAATTTCCAAATTTTCAAAATATTTAAAAATAACGTTTTTTATATTCCAAAAACTTCGAAAAAAATTTCAAAATTTTGAAACCACTTATAAATTTACAGTATGTATTTATAATAAATAATCTATTTGAAAATCTTCAGAACAATTATTGATTGTTTTCATTACGGTACGCAAAGTTGCATCAATTTGCTTTAAGGCACGATGACATGCGCCCCACTAGTTTAGTTTGAAGCTCCAGCTATTTGCCTTATGGCACCATACGTATTGTGGTCTACTGATTGTAAATATAAAGAAACAATGAACTAGTGAACTCCATCACAGATTTCAAAAACATTAGTCAAACTTTCGAAAATATTTCAATACTGCAAAATTTTATTGCGTGTCCCTTTTTTTTATTACAAAAACCTGATTTAGTTGAGTTGACGTTCTTCTTAATTAGTAAGAATAAAATTTATCGAAACAATATATTTGCATAAGCGTAAATTATTGTAGACTTCGTTGTCAAATAATGTATTTTATGTCCATTTGAAATGAGACAATAAAAGCAAGAAAAGAAATGATATCATAATCAATAAATGACGAATCTTGAAACGTTTTCCTCATAAAAATCTGGCAATAAAATTTCTGATTATATTTCATAACGTTTTATGGCAAAAGTTAATATTAATATGAATCTTCAATGATTTATTAAATCATGCAGGAATGTTGGAACTTTCTCGCGTAAAAAATATGTATTTATAGAATAAACTTAACAATAATATATTTTCTTACAATATTATTTAAATAAAATCTTAATGAATAAATTGAAATTACTAAGTTTGAAAAAATTAAATTTTATTAAATTAATAAGTAAATTTCCTTTTTGGTAATGTGTTTGATTCATAAATTTTATGAAGTCGGAAAGCTAGGAGCTTATTGTAACAGAGGTAAGTAATAATAGGGGCAGTGGCGTTGTGCTAATATTTTTTTACCGGAACGCTAAAATGAAAAAGCCGGTTCAAAAACCGGTTCTCATATTTGTACCTAAAACTAGCTGTAAGTGGAATTCTGTCTTAAGGCAATTTCATCGTGCCTTAAGGCAAATTGCTGGAACTTCCCCTACCAAAAATTATTATTTTTTTAAAAACAATTAACATTTTTGAAAAATTTTTACTTCGAAAAAATAAGATTTTTGAGAAACTATAAATTGGACAAAAAATTACTTTATTTTGATTTTTTTTTTTTTTTTTTTAATTTTTTTTGAAAAAAAAATTTTTCTTTATTTTGACATATTTTGGAAGATCTAAACTTTTTTTAAAGCAATCGTACTGCTTTAACTTCATAAAGACGAACTATCAAAGCGCGTAAGCGCCGCGTCGCCGTCTAACGCTTAAACATTGGTACGGAACCCAAAGGAATGTAAACCAAATTTATACTTATTGTTAAAATCTCTAAAAAATATCTGATAATTTGATGTGCATATGTCTAATGATCATTTTTGACCGCCAAACGGCATTTTTTTTACTTTTTTCATTAGATCTCCAAAACCGCTAGACCTGCCTTTATGAAAATTTGATCGGTTTTTCACCTTGTCAATACAATTAAAATGTTTTTTAAATTATTTATTTTAAATCGGACGCTCCGTTTTCTTAAAAACTGAGCTGCCATTTTTGGCACTTTTTGCCCCGTATTCTTTCTAAGGTATGCCAAAATATTCAGAAACCTTTGAAACGTCGAGAAATGCAAAAATTTTCATTTTCGATTTTTTTGCGATTACTATAACTTGCACTACGGGAAGTTAAAAACAAAAATTATTACAAAACCCATTTTTTTGCATATATATGTATGTTTATCACATATAATAGGAACATTTAATAAAAATTAGTTAAATTATAAATTATAAATTATAAAATTCACTTATAAATTGTGTGTAGCAATTTTTTTTTTAAATTCTTTTGCCGGAACGGCCCAAAAATAATTTGCCGGAACGACGTTCCGTTGCGTTGCGGCTCGGCAACACCACTGAATAGGGGTAAGTAGTAACAGGCGTTTTTCAATAGTATTAAATAATATTAAAATATTTTTTTGTTTCAATTTGAAATGTAAACCCCCCCCCACATGATGCTGTTATAGCAACTTTCCCGCAGGCCGACGCATTTATAGAAATATTCAGGTGCGTCATTTGGGACAGTATACTCCTATATAAACTTGTACTATCATAAAATTTCGTTTCTCGTTATTATCGATCGATTTTAAATTTTACATTTTATTTTGTTTCAAATTTATCAATCTTTGATATTATTGACAAATAGACCACTTAGGCTTTTGTGTGCAAAAATAGTACCAGAAAAACAAATATAGTTAGCAGATCTAAAAAAGTTCTATAGTATTGATACATAAGAATATGGATTTAAGAAAGTAACAGAAAGAAAAAATAAAGAAAAAACAATACTAAAAATTAAAATAAAACTAAGGGTAATTAAAAAACGAAGGAAAAAACTAAAGGCAAATCAACCTATTTCGGTTGATGTAACCGGCAAAACAAGAAGT